TATATATATATATATATATGTGTGTGTATATTTATATCTTAGAAAGCTGTTTCGGAATGTTAATTGACATTTATCTGACATTACCTGTGCAATATATTAAAGGATATGCAAAAAAGCACGAAAGAGGATCGGAAAAATATTACGTATTTAACTCCAACTCTCTGTATTAAAAAAGAAAAAAAAGAAAAGAAAAACACAAAACATAATATTTTGAATGAGTCCCACAAATCTCAATAACAAAGGATATTGAGGAAGTATCGATGACTTGGACAAAACGATGAAAAAAAAAACCGATAGATGATGCACAGTAGTTTCAGTAAATATCTTCTTTTCGTGTCGATATTGTATGCACTACTGGATCAGTGATGCGCAATCTGGCATGTTTTTTTAGATTCAGTTTCACAATCCGTGATCCACTCTTTAACCGAAGTTCAACTCACTCGATCCTCATCCCTTTCCAATTCGTCGCAAATTGTGGAACTGGACCACAAAAAATCGTCTTTAGAGGGCCCTTTTCAAAAAGTAGAAGAAATCTTGCAAACCATAAATGTTAATTATTTCGTTTGCATGAAATAATTCACGATACAGCACAGATGATTCTAACAATATTACAACAACATTGCAACGTTCCAGAAATATTGCAGTAACATCGCAAACGTTGCGACAAGCTTCTATGCTATATATGGGAGAAAGTATGATTTTTTATCGTCGGCTGTGAAACGGCGAGTCACAAAAAATTTTCACATGTGGGCCGCAGGTTGCGCATCACTGCGCTAGACTATAGGAGAGAGACTACAATGATGGAAGAATCGTTATTGTTATTTATTTAAACAGTCGATACCGAGAGCCGGTTAATCCACGTGTGAAATCTGCAGAAACTTGAATATTTCAAGAAGTGTCTGCGCTATTTGATGCACATATCGACAATATGTGCTTTCCCGCCATCAAGGTGTTGCTAAGCCAGAGCCAGATGCATCAGACATCGAAGTAACGGTCATCGAAGCGGCTTGGGAGTACCTGAGAGTAAAGCTGAAGTATACAACAATGCCCTTCCTGCCCCCTTAGAGTATAAATATGTATTGTTTGAAACAGCGGCGAGAGTAGCCCTCATATTTTTCGGCATGTAAACATATAGATAGAGGCGAACGAAAGAAGCAGAGTACTGACGTCCGACATCCAGTTTTTTCGCGTTGGTTACTTATGATATTTTAATTATTTGTCATTCTGTGAAATGCAAAATCGATTGAATGCTTTCTAAGCTTTTCATATATGAACCAAAGTAAAAGTTCTTAAAATAATTTTCAACGAGATCTGAGTGAACGAACTTTCCACGTATCGAACATCCTTAAAATATCTTTCAAGAATTATATTAAACTTAAAAATTTATGAGATTTTTGAAATGGGGAATTTCGGCGGATTTTGTGAAAATCTATGAATGTTAAAATTTTACTTAATAATTAAATTCTTTATATTTTAAAAGAAGTGTTTTATGTATCAAGTAATGCAGTAAACATATATATCTATCTATGATAAAACATAAATGCAGCTATTTATGCATCTGTTTATGGAATATAATAATAAGAAGGATCTTCTCTGTTTGTCTCTTATTGCAGGACTTTTTCGATTCTTCTTTGTTTTGTTCGAACAAGAGATTTGTGTAATATTAAATTATTTAATATATTATAAAATATTAAAATATCAATACAAAGAAAGAGTTCATTGAAACATCTTTGATTATTTTACTATATTTATTGAGATTTTTATTATAAATTAATGTTTGTACTGTAATAATGTGTTCGTTCGTTCATTTTGGTATAAAGAAAACATTAACTCGACCTTGTTCTTTCTCTCTCTTGCTTACTTGATCACGTTTAGATGACCTCGTCCTTTCTTTTTCCAGTAATATATAGGGTGTTCCGGAATATTCAACCTTCGTCTCAATGAAAGCTGAAAGAATTCCTTGAACATTCGAAATAAAAAATAAGAGAGGTGAATTGTACAATTGTTAAAATGTGCTCTTCAATATCACACAAAGCTGATTTCCTTAACAGAAATTCACAGTTTCGTGCTTCCTCTTCCTTAATTATCTCATCAGTTTTAATAGATATTAAGTACCTGAATGAAATAAAACTCTAAATTAAGATTCTGTCAAAATAAGATTCGCTTAGAAGAGAAGTAAGATAAATGCTCGTTTTTCATTGTTTAAAAATTAGAAAATATTTTTTAAACAATTATGAAAAAAACGTGCAATTTTATTTTACTTCTTCTTTAATTTCAAATAAATCTTGCTTCGACAAAATCTTAATTTAAAGTTTGATCATCTTTGATGTAAAGAATTTGTAGCTGCATTTTATCAATGTCCCATGAAAAATTGCAGTTATAAATTCTTAACGCAATTTAAAATCACGTTTTATCTATCAATTATTTGTAATCATTTTTTTTGCAAAAAGCAAGAAGTAAATATAGTATATTATTACGCGAGTGATATTTCTGATTTTCATAGAAATTCCTCATCATTACTTAAAATAAACGGAGAGGTCTCAAGTAAGTATAGTAACGATTGTAACGATATAATACTCGTAAGACTGCGGTTTTATCTCTGACGGCAAATTGCCAATGTCACTTGTAAATATAGTAATAAATTCGGTGATCAAATTGATGCTGGAGTGTAAAAAGGAAGATGATGAAGTCAGTCGTTTCTCTTCCCTGAACCGTATTTAAAATATTTATATGTCGTGCAAGATAAAATAATGTAACATTATTTATATGTTCCGACTTGTCATCAGTGTTTGTCGTTTATAATTACAGATAATGAGACAAAAGTCACGATAAAAAAGTTAAAATAGAAGTACAGAATTAAATTAAATTTAAAGTTTGTTTTCTTATCAAAAAGTTTTCATATCGTCAAAAATTATTATATATTTGGGTTGCGTGGGTCAATAAATATATATACTATTTTGTATTAAAAATAAAAAGATTAATATATGAAGATTGATGTCGATATAATTTTAGTCTCAACTTTATTTTCTATGTTGTTAAATTGATAAATTTATAGGACTATATAATTATTGAAAAAATTGAATAATTTACAAAATTTTCTGATCTTTTTTCTTTTTATCCGATTATTATTGTTTTTGAAGTGGAAAGTCGAGGAAATACAGGGAAAATATTAATATTAATATTATTATTATTCTCATATTTTAAAATAAGAGAAAGTAGTGCCCTCCGACGGAGGTTATTGATATTGCGTGAACCACCATCTCGTGTTATGTTGATAAGTCAGCGATCTAACCGGGCAACGTTGCGATATCCCAGGCCGCACAGCTGGACTGCGGTATTTTTTCCGTTAGCGGAACAGTGTGACGTGCCATGTGGGATGTGGGTTCGATTGCGCGCGATATAAGATAAATCTTATTATTCGCTATTCCATGTGAGTCCACGCGATCCCGGACACGAAGCGTGCCGGACGACAACAACAACGATAACAAAACCCTCAGGATATGTTATGAGTACGCCGCTGTGCCGGTGAACGGATCAAATCTTATCTTCAAGTCGCGAATGATATGACAGCTCTAAGAATGCGGTTGCCAACGTGGAACGATGACTTCCCGATTTTCTTACTGTTGCTGCTCGGTGTGCTCGCCTCTGGCTCGTATTGCTTTGAGGTGATATATGCGATTAACGCGGGTGGCGAGGCGCACACGGACAGCAACGGGGTACATTATGCCAGGGATCCTCTAATGGGAAAATATATCGGCACGGCCTCCGATTATGGTAAGCAGCTCATCATCGGGCGTATCAGCGACATAGATCAGATATTATACCAAACCGAGCGTTACCATCACAACACTTTCGGATACGACATCCCGATCAGCCAGGATGGGGATTACGTTATGATACTTAAGTTTTGCGAGGTGTACTTCAACTCGCCAAACATGAAGGTGACCCTCTTCATGAAACGGATTCGTCATGTTGAAAACCTCAGTCAAATATGTAATCTGTTATTTCATTTTAGGTCTTCGATGTCGTGTTAAATGGTGATCATACTGTAGTCACTGATTTGGACATCTTCGAGAGAGTTGGTCGAGGTGTTGCACATGATGAATACGTATCGTTTAAGGTACTGGGTGGAAAATTAATATACAATGATGAAGAATCAGACATTCTTGGTGGGAAGATAAGAGTAGAATTTATAAAGGTAGTTGATATATTTTTACTGTATATACTACATGCTATATGCATTAACATACTTCTTTACATACATATATAATATATTAGATGTTTTCCAAGAAACACAGATGGTACAGAGTGAAGAGAAATACATAGTGAATTAAGAAAATCTATTACACAATTTGGCCAAGAGTAATTTTCTCAAAACAAAAATTAAAAAATGATGTATACATACAATCTTTTTTTATATCTATCTTATTTTAATTTATACTGTCTTATTCATTTTAATTTTCTAAAGTTGATAAAAACGACAGGCTGATCAAAAGTTTATCATCTCGTGGCCAAATCTGTTAACTTTCTACAATGAATCATTATATTCTTGTATGTTAAGATTAACCCTCAACTACAGCTACCTAAATTATATTTAAATTCTAAAGCGTCCTGTTTAAAGTACAGAATGCAAGTAAACTTCTGTCTCACGACGATTAAGAAAGGTTCAAAGTTTTTTACCTATCTACAATTTAGAATACTTTGTAGTATATCAATTGTATAGATCTAATTCAAATGACCCACTGCTATAATCAAGGGTTAAACATAATGCTTCCATGTGATCTATATTGTATATCTGAGTTGTGCTAGCGTAGCACAACTCAGCACAACCGTTAAATTCGCCGACACACCGATATTAAGAGTACTTTACTCTTGAGCGCGGCTCTTCGCCCAAGATGAAATGATCACTTCACCGTATTATACTGTCTTTTATTGAAAAATACCATATATATATATATATATATATTTATTAATATGCATTAATTTGTAATTTTACAGGGTTATAGGGATAATCCAAAAATAAATGCTATAGCTGTTGTGAAAGGTGTTTTGGATGGTTTGTACATCTTTACTTTTGTTGAAGAATTGTTTGCTGACAAAACATTCACACGCGAATACTATATTTTTTAGATGTTCCACAATTAGGACCGATACCGCCTGATCCAGAGGACTATCAAGGTATGCAGGAAGAAGAGGAAGAAACTGATTTGCGAAGTAGACATACGAGTGGGCCAAGGACTCCTGACCCGTACTTGATAGACGAGTCGCCTGTATTGTTACCTGTTTTTGTAGCCATCGGCGCTTTTATTCCATTATTGTTCTGTTTATGTAAATTATAAGCTGATACACGTACATAGAAATGCCTTGTACTTAACGGTAACAGTGTTCCCAATTATTTAGGCTTGCTCAATCTACAAGAGGTCGTCTAAATAGTGTAAATAAATAAACAGTTATCTAAGCTCCTTTGCATTGCCAGATTTAGCATGTGTGAATATTTATTTTTAATTTATGAACGTAATATTACGTAAAATGTGCCCTGCATATTTTACGTAATATTCGCCGGATTATAGATTTTTGAAGTATTTTAGGAACATTGTTTTTTCTATAAAATATATAATTCTTTCATAACTTAACTCTAAGTATCTAATAAGCAATTTCACAATTAGGTCTAAATTACAATTTAAGATTATACTAATTCTTAAGCATTTCTTAAAATTAAAATAAATTTATAGAAAATTTACTTAGAATGAACTTATTTTATTTATAGCGCTAAAGTTTTTTAATTTACAAAAATCCTTGTATTTTCGATTACATAAATTAAAAAGAATTAATATACTGATTGTTAATAAGTGCTCCAAACATAAATGAAACAATGAAAATGCTTGATATAAAATGTGCTTAAAATCTTCAACATTAATTTTAATGACAAATTTTTGATAAAATCTATAATCGATTTTTAGAGAACATTTCAATGAATGAGATTCTTATTTATTTTATTTACAATTATCTAATATACGCTTATATTTCTTAATCAAACGTTACTGTTCTTAATCAAACTATAATAAATTCTGAGAAAGTTATGTAGTAGTATAGTTAAAATGCACATTAAAATGTTATCATTTAATTGCGACACAAATATAATGTATATAAATTTTTATTTCTCATTTTGTCGATTTTACAGCTTAAAAATGCTAATTTGATTTACGTTCTAATTAAATTCAGTTATAAGTAAATCAGATAATTTTTTACTAAAGTTAAGGTTGGAGATTCTGAGATAATTCATATACATTTTGCATTATAAATATCATGATATATATCTAAAATTCATAACACATACATCAATTATCCCACAAATCAACATTAAAATATTCAGGATATATGACGTTGTGCTAAGAAATGTTTTTATTGTTTTCTATATTTATTCTAAATAACGCGTCTTATAAGCCGTGATGTATCAGGTTCTGTACATGTCACGTTCCACCTCTCGTTATACAATCTTAAAAGATTTGGATGCCGATATGGTATGGCCATAAATCATGAAGCTAATTTTTGAAGTAGTCTTAGTTTAGGTCGATTATCGAAATGGATACCGTAAAGCAGAGTTTTGTAGTTCATTAAATACCAAAGCATGTTGATTCATATAATGTGATCAATTTTTCGCACATTGAAATAAATAAAAACTATTATTATATAAAATGCATTGCTTCTTATTTTTCTATAAAAGCAACAAAGTTTCGAGCAAAGTCGCGTTTATTGAACTACTATCCTGCATAACACAACCAATCCGATAACAGGATTGACATATACAAATTTTTAGTGAATAATATATACGTTTGCGTATTGCGAGAGAGAATTATAATAGTTTATTCAAAAACTATAATATAAAAGAAATTTATCTGTGCATCATATTGACTCTTATTAGTGACTTTTAATTTATCATTAGATTTATTCTTATAGCCGTCATTCTTAATATTATTTATTCAAATTAGTAATAAATATCACCTAAATGTAGAACAGTGTTTCTCTGTTTATTTCTTTGCTCAAAATAAATTGACAAATTTTGTCTTTAATTTGATTTTCTTTAAATAGTATAAAATTAATCATCTCTTTCAGTATTTTTAGAGTTAATGAAATTTTTGTCGATCGTATATTCGTTTCGATATCCCGTATAATTCATCAATAATTATAGTTCTATTTTGCAATATTAGGAAGAAAAAGAATGAAAAGGAATCGTCGAATTTGAGCGAGACACTATCGATCGCGCGATTATTCGTATAACCCAAACCAGCAAACGGGATAATGTATACACGTAGGTACAATAAATTCAATTGAGCGTCCCGCAACGTAAAGAATCGTGCGTTCGTAATGGGAATAAGCTCATTCATCCCGCATGAGACGACGCGACGGGACGTCACGTGACTCAACGCGCCGGAGTAGCGCGTCCTCGCATCGTCGAAGTCTTTGATGTGTGCTCATCACCGGCAATTAGCTGTCAATTCATGCGGCTGTACTTGTTTCGAAACGGCGGGACCGGCGAGACGGACAATCCGCGATCCGGAGATCCCCTTTCTCTCCCCGGCTTTGCGAGTCTCCTTTCCTCCTTGCCCTTGAAGCAAAGAGCTTGCGGCCAAGTCATTACTTTATCTGTATAACGACTGATGCATCGGTGATCAAATGTTCTTGCACGTAGTAAATCTATCGCTCGCCGGCAGATACTACAATAAATAATAGATCTGTTCTGTTTATCTTCTTCCTTTTCTTTCCAAGTTGAGAGAGAAAAAGAGAAAAGCTTTAACTGTGCAAAAAGTTCAGCGAAAGAGAACAGGCCTAGTATTTCGTTGACCGGATTGTTGAGCTTTCATCAGCGCGAAGTAAAAAAAATATTGTAGTGAAGGAAGCGAAAAAAAAACTGTGTCGCTCCTCTTCCCTTTTGAGGCTACTTTTTCACTGGTTTTTGAAAAATCGACGATTTGGGTATAGTGTATTGAAATTAATAAGCGAGTGTATGTTTTTTTAACAAATTAGTTTTAAATTAGCATTGAGCACGTATCTGATTACAGCTAGCACCTCGAAATCTTGCGTGTGTATTTTGTATATTTTCAGAAATCAAATGCGTTATCCGACTGTTAGTTCTGTTTCTTTAAAACTATAATTTTCAAGGATTTTTATATAAATAATGTATAAATATAATGCATGCAAGCGCTGAAAGTTTTTTTTTTATAATAACATGGACTTATTTTTGTGTAAAACACACGTATCGTGTTCATCCTTTAATTACAGTGAACTTGACAAATCTGAGAATGTATTAAAATTAATGAGCGGTTGTGTATGTAGAATTTTTTTTTATTTCTATAGAGTAAAATATTCTAGAACAGATTAATATTTTATATATTGTAGAGAATCAATAATTTTAAACTTTGGTCTCACTTTGAGTTTAAGTAGAATTCGATTATACTTATATACAAAGAAATAAATTATTTTATTCGTAATCTTTCGGTAGAAAATCAATAAAAAATTGACGAGTGTCTTGTTTTCGCCAAAAGATTTCGAAAGCTTACAAATCGACGCAGAAATTTTAATCGAACAATTATCGAAATTAGAACAGAGAATTTTAGAACGTTCAACGCGACAATGTGTAATATAAATTTTTTTTATCATTTCCATTCGTAGATAAAGCTAATGCATCTTCTTTTAATAAACGAAAACGATAACGTCTTCTATGATAACGATTATTAATGACTAATGATCGAGAAACGAACGTTGATTTTTGTCTAGCGATCAAAACGCAAGGCGCTCGCTCGTTAAAATTGTTCTTTTGATCCACGGCCGAGATATAAATACGTATGTACATATTATGTTTCATTCTATATTATTCATTCTTATCGGATAAATTTAGATAAGAATTTTCATAGACTTTCATGATGTCAACGCGACAATGAAGACGTTTTTGATCGGCGTTTATTTTCTGCGCGCGAGATCGCCGACATGTCGGAAGAAATTTTCTATCCTCCCTTATAATCGGGAAAGAATGTTAACGAACAGATGACAGATTGGTGCGATTAACGCTTGGACATATGTTACTTCTATTTTGTATCTGACGTAATCGACGCTCCTGTGTCTCAAGTATTAATTATTATTCAAATTACGCAGCCAATCCGTGCGAGGCTCATCTGTTCGTTTAACTTTGCCCCCTGCAAGATGAATGGCGGAAATATCGTTTGCGCATTTATGGTAAAAGATTTATTACTATATATGCAGATGTGCGAGTAAAGTTTAAAGAATTATCGATAATCGAGAAGGACACATTTAAAATTAAGATTCTCTTCCAGTACCGAAGATCTACACTGAAAAGAATTATGTTATATCAATAACATTATTTTAATTAATACAGATAATCCTATATATCGATCAAAACGAATCTTAGTGCTTAATATTATTAAATACGGAATTTTGTAAATTATTTCAATTTTATGAACTGCGTGGTTCGCCGATATGGTTGGTCGGACTTAATTAATATCATAAATTAGATTGATTATTTATTTAATGTAGTAATGCTAAAATAAGTATCTTAAGAATCTGTAAATAATAAGTATTATTTTAGTTATAAAAATAATTTTGTTAACTTATAATACTATTAATGAAAATAAGTAATATGAAGTCAAGGGCGATATAAGAGTCAAAAAGATTTTTATTCAACAATAAAACATATAATTAATAACTACTTTCGATAATTAATTTAACATAATGCTAATTCGTCTTCAAACAAATAAATATGATAATAAACAAATATATATAAATAAGTTACAAGTTTCGGCTCTCGGATTGAGCCCTCCTCAGACATATTAAAAAGCGGCGGACAAAATTAATTGATAAAAAGATCGCTCGTGCAGTTTCCATTAATTCTGTGAGTCTTCATATAGAAACGACATTAATTACACATGATTGAAAAGTCGTATGTATAAAAATATCTCAAGGAAATCAAATAAAATTAAATAAACAATAATGTTATTTCGGTGTATCAGCATGATTACAGTAATATACATCAAATTGAATTAACATTATTGTTTATTTAATTTTGTTTGATCTCCTTGAGATATTTTTATACATACGACTTTTCAATTGTGTGTAATTAATGTCGTTTCTATATGAAGACTCACAGGATTAATGGAAACTGCACGAGCGATCTTTTATCGATTAATTTTGTCCGCCGCTTTTTGATATGTCTGAGGAGGGCTCAATCCAAGAGCCGAAACTTGTAACTTATTTATATATATTTGTTTATTATCATATTTATTTGTTTGAAGGCGAATTAGCGTTATGTTAAATTAATTATCGAAAATAGTTATTAATTATATGTTTTATTGTTGAACAAAAATCTTTTTTGACTCTTATATCGCCTTTGACTTCATATTGTTTATTTTTATATAACGAGTCCTTATTTTTTTCTATTAACTATTAATGAAACAAATTTTATTAAGATAAGAGCATATGACGTATTTGTTTCATTAATAGTAGATATTATTGATTTAAAAATATTTTAAATTAATGTGTTGTTAATATAATGTTATTTTTTTCCAATATATAATATTACGTTCCTTATATAGATTTCGCTGGCAGTAAATATTGAAGTCCAAATAAATTGCGATTGGTTTATTCCTCTAAATTCAATCGAAATTTGATATACTTTGCAAATAGGATCGCAAATACTAATTGTTTATTCTGATGGCGATAAAATCTATATAATTTTTTTTGTACAATGTAAACTTCTTACACTTTATATATCTACCAATTTATTTAATGTTCTCATACGTGATACTTCTTGGAATTTGAGTGAGTGTACTTTAGTGATTACTTTATCAATTCAATACGTATTCTCGACAGTAATGTCAAATAATAACGAAACGAAAATGACACAATTAAATAATAATCGTATTTTTTTTTAAACTAATCATTTTTTAAATAAATTGAAAAATATACATATAGAAATGTGCGTCTAACTCATATTTTTATATAGAAATAATATAATATAAATAATTTTTTGACAGTAATAAGATTTCTAAACTGTTTATCAATGATCACATGAAGTATTTAATTTCCAAAATAAAGTACATTTAAAAAGTTTGACGCAAGATAACAAAATTGATTCTGTACCGGGATGCTTCTAAGACATGAAGAAAGACATTAAAATACACTGAGTCACAGCGCAGGATGTAAGTCACGAGCGGACCAGTACATACAGATGCAAATAAATGCAGCTCTCTTCCGTCCCTCGCGTACACCCACCACCACGCGTGAAGGGTACATCAACAGCGATGATAGAACGACAGGACAGGCCGGTCTCTATCAGTCCGTCAACGATAATCCGAATACTTTGTCTGGAATCATCGTAGATTGGTCGGTGGTTCCCTCCCTCTCGCGGGACTGACGAGATCCCTTAACGAAATCCCCCCCGGATGTCGTTATAAAAGCTGGTGCGACCCGGCGCGCTGTTTGTCTTTCCTCGGCGGCGATTCAGATTCTGACTTGTGCGTGCAACGAGCCTATCATCACGGTCATCATGGTGCAGGTAGTCGGCAAATATCAATACGTATCGAGCGAGAACTTCGAGGATTACATCAAGAGTCTCGGCAAGGGTGACATCGCCGAAGCGTTCTTGCAGTCCAGGCCGATTGTGGAGATCCAGCAGAATGGCGATCAGTGGATCGTCCTGGTCACCGTCAGCCAGGACAAGACCATCTCCGCCAGTTTCAAACCTGGAGAGGCCTACGACGAGCAGCTTCCATCTCTGGGTCTCAACTTTAAGGTAGGTCTCGTCGGAAAAGAATATTGAATTATTGCAATTGTTGAGTATTACACGAGAATCATATTACGTTATCAAATATGAATATTAAAATTAAAAATTAATACAATAGAAGATTATTCTTCTATATTGGAATACAATGCAGGCCACGTTCAATAGAATATTTTGCAATTGTTGCAAGTTTTCTCTTCATGCTAATTGGATTATATATATTTTTTTAGAGGAATAGAGTTATATTTCAGTGAAGAAAACTTTCAATAGTTGCAAAATAAATATTTTGCTAAATGTAGCCAATGGCTCGGTCTAAAGTTACCGCTCGGAATATCTTCTATGCAAAAAAGAAACTGCAAGATTCCGAGATTTGATATTCTAGGAGAAGATAACGTTAGAAAGAATATTCTTCATAGATAGAAAATTATTAGACAAAATAACTTTTGCATATTGATTTTTCGCACGATTCACGTCGATTTGCGAGCTAAATAATGAAACTGAATTTTCTTTTTCTATTTTTCTCGCATAAAAGAGCGAAACAAACCAATGATGATTGAAGCAAGACCTAAGAACTTCAATTAAAAATTGGCCGTATTCAGAATGTTTATTTTGCAACTACTGGAAGTTTTTTTCGTTGAGAGATAGGTTTATTTTTAATCTAAAAAGTATAATCTAATTAATACGAAGAAAACATTCAATTAGTTATAAAATAAATATTTTGCTGATGTGGCCATTAGGTACTCTCTAAAACTTTTTAAGTGAATCTCACTATTAAAGAGATCGAAAATTGAGCAACTCTTTTTCAAAACTGGTTCAATTTTCACTCTTTACAGTGAGATTCTATTTTATAGAATTTAGAGTATACATTAAACGTTCTAACATTATTTTTGCAATAAGTATATCGATTATTACATCATTATGCATTTGTTTTACGTCACAGAGCGTGACTACAAAGGAAGGCAATGGTTTCAAAACGGAGACCACCTTATCCGCAGATACCATATCGATCCGAATTTATGAATTCACAGACACTGGAATGGTTGTGGTAAGTGTGATTTCAATAAAACAATAACAATGTTATATAAACAATGTCATATAACGATCCTGTAAATATACTGAGAAAAACGTCTGATTATATCAATTGAAATGCTAGTTGAAAATGAACAAATCAGAATTTTCTAATTAAATCTACTAGAATTCTAATTAAAATAATCGAAATACTCATTGATATAATCAGAATCTTCTGATTCGTCAATTTTTAACCAGAAATTTTTCTCAATGTGTAACAATGATGCAAGGTGACCAAGTGACGAGCCTTACGCGTTTCTTCTTTTTCGTTTCAGCATCTATCCTCCAACAAGAGCGACGTTAAAGCGAAGCGTATATATAAAAGACTGTAAAGCCGGTTCCTAATTTAAAAATAGCAGTTCATAATATCGCACTTCATTAAAGAAATTGAAATGTACAAGAGTACTTCTTTTCTTCTTGTCCATTTATTCCATTTCCCTGAGACGAGACGAGATGCGACAAGGTGTCAATCAGGCAGGACGAGAGGACGTATACATAATGCTGGATATAACACTGCTCAAACGTAATATTTATTTATTCAATTATGAATTCTGAGGAAAAAAAGAATAAAGTGACAAGTACGCGTACACAAGAAAGTCGGAATAACATGTATACGAAACGCGCATGTGAAACGCTAAACTACGACGCTCCCTCGTTGATGCGGAGCTGCATTTTAATGCATATCATATCGAATATGTGCGTGTGTACAGGATACATTCTCGAAAATCGCTATGAAAATGTAAGAAAATACTACAGCATACATTATATGTAATACAGATTTTTCTAATATTTTCATATACGATATTTTTCAAGACTCCTGATCGGTATCATGAGTCGCCTACGCAGTGGACTCGCCATATCCCTTCGCATTAAACGTATTCATGTTAAAAAGAGTCGCAGATCTTTTTAATCCTTGATTTCGTCGTGCTTGAGGGAAGGCTCATGTAACGCTCGCGTTGGGCGCACATAAAAAATATCGCGAGCATGTATCGGTTTTGATAAAATGAGACGAAAGTATATTTCACGATCGAAGTCAAACAGGATAAAAAAAAAAGGGGGGGGGGAAACCATATTCGACCGAAGTTTTCACAGTATTGGACTTCGTCGAGTGCGCGCTCCAACAGTGGAAGTTCGAAACGCAAAAGAAGAAAATTGAGATTTGTGCGATGTATGAAAGCTTTAAACGCGCGCGCACGCGATGATCATCCACATCGATGATCGGCGCTGAGAAAAGCAGGATCCAAACGTTTGGTTAGAGAAGATTTAAAAAGATCAATCGAAATATTTTATATCGGAGAGAGACAGCATTCTTCAGAGACCTTTTTAATGAATTTTTCTCTTTTTCACGGAACCTTTGGATTCCTTTTCTCTTTCTCCGTTCATATACATATATAAACTTCTTCTGGTTTCTCTAGTGCGTATTATTCGTATTTAATAGTACTGTAAGATATATCACATTAAACCATAGGGTGCTGTACACATAGATTAGATAGTATTATATTATCATGATTACGAGTCAGTATATATCTCGCAATGAATTCAACTTCAAAAATAGGAACAAACAAGAATAAATATACGCTTCCCTCTCCTCTATTCCTTTTCTTTTTTGTGATTCAAGTAAAATTATGTCGCGAGTAATCATTATCAATTATAATTGCGCATATAAAATTAAAAAATTGTAAAAAATCCATATACTTTATAGAGTTCCGTTAAAAGTTAAAGATTAACATACTGCCATTATCGGGAGTTGAATCTATTTTCAGAAGCCGCCACGAGCACCATCTGAGCTCTCTCAGACAATCTCAGACCCGGGATCAGTTAAAAATAATGACGCATGAGAACGCATCCGAAATATATTTACATAACAAGACTATCCTTATTACGATAAGGCAGCAGTTGTTAAAAGCAATGTTTAGGGTATGCCTCGCTCTTGATAGACTAATATCTCTGTCACATATGTATGCATTCACGTAAGAATAAAAAATTTTTCTGTTGACATGCATGTATAATCCCTAAACACTACTCTACTGGATGTCCCGACGCGCAGTCGTGTTCTGTCCATTAAACAATAATAAGGAGAAACCTATGTGTCTCGGTTCACCCGCGACGACGTGTAATTCCTAGGCCGACGTATGTTGTCGCGAAGCGGCGGACAGTTCGCAGCTTACCGATCGATTGTTCAATCGGCGATCAGCTGATTGTCGATCGGCACGTTCACCGGCGACGCATCCTTTAATGGTATATCGTCCTCAGGCTTGTTCGTTGCCGTTATGACAGCGGTTTCGGTCACGTCCTCCTTGAGAATTCCATTCTGCAATACTTTGACCTCACTCGAGGATATTCGCTTTGTCGCAGGGGTGGAGGTCTTCGGCATAGACTTCGAAGTCAGAGTTTTCTTCATTGGCGAGATCGCAGAAGCATTTCCGGGCAATTTTCCAGCCGATGTGCGAGGAATCTTTGCAACGCCAGTAGTTGTACCGATAGGTACGGAAGAGCGAGCATTCGTTTTAGGCGCCGATGCTCCAGACCTAGAGATTTGCTTATTGACCGTCTCTTTGCTCTGTTTGTCGATCAACGGTAATTTACCAGTAGCTGTGATCGTTTTACTTTCGCGTGGCTTGGTTGTGCCACCGAAAGTCGGCGCGGTTTTGGGCCGCGATGCGCCGTTAACGCCGGTTGTAGGCTGCTTTAACGTCGATGTGATTTTAGTTGCTGAAGTCGCAGACGCGGGTCTTGGTTTCGATGTTACGTTAGTTGTTGATGGTTTTGTAGTCGTTGACGTTTTACCCAATGTTTTTGCGGTTGTACTACTGGTTGTTGATCTAACAGTGGTGCTCGCTGACTTCGTGGTGGCGGGTTTACTGGCTGATTTCGTGTCACCGCTCACCGTTGATTTCTTCTCGATCGATAATGGACTGCTTATTTTCAACGAGGTAGTGGTAGTAATGGTGGTTTTTGGTCTCGTTGTACCAGAGATTGAACGTGGAGAAGCACTGGTTCTCGTCGCTGTTGTCGTATTTTTGGGAATCGTCGTTGTTTTGGTGAGGGTGGTTTTACCGCTAGCGCTCGAGACTGTCGTTTTGGTCGATCCATCCAATTGCTTAGGACGAGTCGCGGTACCTGTAGTAGGTTTTTTCGCGGTTGACGCTGATAATGACGTCGTAGTCGTTCGCATGGTCGTACCGATTGCTTTAGAGGGTGAGGTTGGCGATTTCGTTACTGTTTTCGTTGTTGTTTTCGTCATGGTTTTCGTTGGACGTTTCGCGCTTGTTGTAGTAGTCTTTGCTTTTGAGCTCGCAATGGCGGCGGCTGCCGCCGTTGCAACGATGGCGGCTCCCACTGATACTTGCGCGACTTCCGTAACGCCTTCTTTCGATTTGTCTATCGTTGCGGTATCTTCAAGTACTACAGTTTTTTGTGACTCAGTCTCTTCCTGTTTCGGAAGAATATCTTCTGAAGTGACTTCTTTCTTCAATAACTCATCAACATTAACCGGCACAAATTCGACAGCTTTTTCCTCTGCGGAATCTTGCTTAATTGGAAATATTGGCTCATCAGGCAGTGTCATTTTAGGTATAAATTGATCAAACATTCGGTTTGTGTATTCCAGCTCATCCTCTACAAAATTAGATTTATGTATCGAGTCAGGTGGATTTGATTCGGTTGTACTATCCGGTTCGATAACATTTTCATCGCTGTTTTTGTTTTTATTACACAATTTTTCGATCTCTTGTTTTTTACTTTCAAAGTAGGGATCATCCTTGTATACATCACAATCGGGATTTTCAGTATGCAGCAACACTGTTTTACTATAATCTATGCAGTCAGTAGATTGGTTCAACTGATTTTCGATCAGTCGTTCAGTAACATCTTCCATTGTTTGAATATTATTTTTAAGATTAACAGCACAATAGTCCAGCTGTGTCTGTAATGCTTCGTTTGGCACCGTGTGTTCTGAACTCACTAATTCTGATAATAACTTCTGTTGTGAGAGATAATGTTGTGCGGCATGTATTGCGTTAAAATCTGAATGATTCGTTGAATCTGGAAGATTTTTCGATACTTCAGATTCCACATTTTCTACTTCTAATGTTTTCGCACTATCTAAAGATCTCGTAATAAAAGTTTGCAAATCTTCAGCATCGTTATTATCTTCTTTTTTACATAATTTTTTCCCCTCTTCTGTGCCAGAGGAACTTTCTGTGTCATGAACTTCTTTGAATGCTTCCCTGCATTCTTTTGGGACGTTTTCATCGAATTCATACCCTTGTATATCTATCTCTGGTATATTATTAATTTTAAATGAATAGTTGTTATCAAACGACGACAAAGTTTCCTTTTCAAGCATCTTCGTTTCAGAGTTAGAAGATTCAGAAATTACAGATATAGAATCATCCGGTGGATGTGGTGTTGACGCGCATAAGGCATCGATCGAATTCTTATTCTCCGAAAGAGGTGTGTTCGGACGATCCTCGTCGAACGTAACGTTCGCAGACGGGTCAGGTGAACGCCGCGGTGGTGTAATCGCTTGTTCAGCACTATCTGAACTATCGTCCAATATGTGTACGGCATTCAAATCAACTTTCAATTCGAATGCTTTGAAGTTACCTGGAGTTAACGACACAGCCATGGGATCATTCTTAGTGACGACATCGCTATCTTCCGAGTCAGAACCCGCATCGTCATGTGTCTTTTCATTCCACTGAGAAGAGACATCCGTCTGCCACTGTGAGGTAGACATTACATGCATCATGGATTCGTCATCACCCATTTCGGCTTTGGTCGACGAAATCTCGGATACGTCTAAGCTCTGCGAACTATTATTCTGTAGCTCTGTATTTTCGTCTTGCAATTTTTCACCTATCTCCTTTGGTCGATAATAGACATCCTTATCAAATTCACTCTGGCTCGGTACACGAATATCATCCATCACCTGTGTTGTTTTCAGAGGAGAGCCACTAATGGCAAAATCCCGCAAACGTGTGTTGTTGCTCCTGTTGCTTACTAACGGTGGTGATAACGGCACGAACTCGGCTGCCTCCGGATTCAATTGAAAATCCATATTGTTCTGTTCTTCTTTCTGTTCTTCCTGTAGATCTAGGAAAATTTGAACCTTTCCCAAATCGCTCGATTTTTTTTCGTTGCTTATCTGAAAACGTAATGGTATTATTCGAAATAAGCGCTCTCACATTAAATAATAAATATTCAATATAATGGAGAAAAGTAACAAGAGAGAGATACGACTTACATCGGTGTCGATAAGCTTAGACAAGGCGATATCTTTCACTAATTCTTCACATTTAATATCGTTCTCTGCTTCCGGAGACTGAACTTCCAAGCTATCTTTCGCGACAGACTCGGGATTCTCCTGTGCACTTTGCTCCTCAACGTCCTTGCGGGATTCGTCTGTCGTAACAGCTGTCACTGCAGAGCCCTGCTCGTTCGGATCGGTACGATAATAATTCCACTCGTCCTCGGAATCCTCGCTGTCCGCTACATTATCCGCTACGATCAGTGCATCCTGAAGAGGTTCTGGAATAAGCGTAAGAGAAATTAGAAACATGGACGAATAAATTCACTTTGTTGTATTTCTTACGTCATGTTACTTTCGTTTATCGTAAAATAAAAATTGCGTTCACTGATATTATATCATTTCTTTTTTATATCTTTCAAATCGTATCAAATCAAGAAACCAAGTTTCATAACGAGGCTTTTCTTCATAGAAAAGTGAATTCAGTCCGCACGTATTCATGTACAAGCAAACGTGATAACCGTATTTTTATCTAATAATTCAATTTCTTGGATTTTTGCAGATTCTCTTGAATTATTTTATGAAGATAGCAATACTGAGTAGTATCAAGTATATTATATTACACAATATTATATTTTCAACCTGTTTTATCGAGCTTTTTGCAATAATTTTATAGTTTTTTCAATGTCATTTAAAACGGAGTTTAATACCAAGAATAAACAGACTAAACTGACAATTCATAAGATAGTTTAATGTAAAGTCGCTCTTATTTAAAATAGCTCTTACAAATTAGACTTACTTTTCACCTTTACATCGAATTATATTATAGCTTTATTTCACCACCATGTAATCATCAAGAATAATTTATAAAATTCTCGATACCTTCAGCACAGAAATTAACGAAAGATGACTTCCAATAAACATTGGAAACTAGATAATTTCAGCGTAGCAAAGTAGAATTAAAAATAAAAGAAAACGTTAAAAACGGTGTATGGAAGCGATGTGGGAATACCTTCATTCTAGACAATTACCAGCTTACAAGACATGTCGGTTCCCGCATCCATATTACGGAAATCGTTGTCAATAATTGCACGCGACAATGGGACAAGGTAGATAGTAGTTCCAGCATAATTCGTCCGATAATTCAGGGAGTATCACCTTCGAAAACTACACGTTCGTTCACACCATAGTTCACGTAACGAGAGACGATACGGTACGGTACGTATCTGCAAGGTGTTCCGCGGTCGAAATATTGAAGGAAGTATCGAACGAGTTTTCAGCAATCCAAAGTGGATATGGCTATCACGTTTTAAAGGGGTCACTCAGTTAATATTCCGTGTGATTGTCCCGGATCATTTTATACGTCCATACACATTTTGATACGCGCGAGACGGACCGAGAGAGATAGATAGATAGATAGAGAAAGAGAGCGCAGCAATCTTCTCTCGCAAACTGGAGTGTTTTTAAAATAAAGAATATCCTCTCGTAGGTGCGATCACCCTCCGGTGACTAAGAGGTACTACGCCCGCCAAGAGATGCATTATCGATCTAGCCCAGAGCCCCCGGAGCACTCTCCTCCTTCTCCTCTTCTTTCACCCCGCCCCATCTACGCACTGCCACCACCCACCTGTGCACCGTGACAGTTGGAAGAGAATTACTCTCGTCCGATTGGATGGACCTCGGAAATCGCCGAATCAATTGACCCGTTCGATACATCTATTCGGGAAATACTCGCGTGACAAAGGAAGGGTGCTTTTCGCAAGTGCATTTTATCTTTCCACCTTTCACATTTGACTCTTGTAACAGGAGCGTGATAACGAGAAAAAAAAACTTTGATATTTCCATTCCGAAGTAAAAAAATCAGCAGTGTCGCACAGATTAAATGCATCTAAAAATCGATCCGATTGTCATACTTGAAACATTTATTTTTTAAATATTTGCGCGATTAAAATTAAACTGCATTTCATTTTATCTTTTTGTATTTAGAAAAACTTTGACAATTTTGTTCTGAAATCAAGAATTTTTATGAGAACAAGTATATATATAAGTATAAATAAAATAATCCTTTTCACAATATTATTATTATATTACTATTCAGTGGAAAACAATTAACACAATTTTGGCTAAAGAATAATTAATTAATTTTAATTAATGTAACGTAATAGATAATTTAGATTAATAAAATTTGACGTAATGAATCCGTATTTGTTACGTAAACCTATCGGTTCGCAATTAAACGAGCTACTGAAATATAATAACACTAATTAATATCGACCGTTCATCAGTTTATGTCATATATATTATATATTATTCAATATAATAAATTCATATAGACAATAAATTTCATGAGCTACGGGTGTTTTTTAAAAATTTCACTTGTTGAAAAAATCATTTGCATCTATCGCGAATTTATAAAAAATATAACTGTCGCTTTATAAAACAATTAAGATTAATGAGCAAAAATATTTTAAATAACAGGTGAGTTCTCTGCAGATATGCTCGCGTGAAAAATGTTGGCTCGCCACTGTCGTAGGACTGAGACCAAACGAGAGCACGCCTGAGGAAAGGGAAGAAGGAAAAAAAAATCGTAGAAAGGCGTAAAGAGCAGCTGATAGAAACGTCGGCCCACCTGGCCGAGACCGGAAAAATGTTGACGTGGAAACTGGTTAAGGGATGCTGAAAAAAGCGCAGCCTACGCACAGAGCGTTCGCTTAACAACCCGTTCTTAATTTCGTCCCAAGTCTTGGCCACCAACGCGAACTCGTGCCAACTCGCAAGGTTCTCTCCCACGCGCTCGCTTGATCACTTCTAACGCATTTCGAATCCATGTGGAGAACATAAAACGATTATATTACATGATTTTGGGTAATAATATCTTGCGCCGTTTCGCTGCCACATATCTTGAATCTCAGGACGTTGATCTTGCAAAAGTCTTCTCTCCGAGAGATCCTCGATACGTAAAATTCGCATGGGACGTTTCTCCGATTCGCTTCTTCCGGCAGCTTTCGTCGATATCGCGTAATCCTCTAATACAAAATTCTAACTACTACTGGTTCTAATGAACTCGAAGAATACGCGTAGAGATCAATCCTTTTTATTAGTCGTGTTACACCTTGAAACCATCTGTCGATACAGGACAATAGAAAAATATAGCTTACAAACTACAGTTTACTATATGCTTCAATGGCTTGGAAAAGTAGCTGTATAGAATTATCGTAAATTACTAGCTCTCCTTAAGCTCGCATTCATATAGAAGTTAATCGGCTCTTTCTTAATTAGTAAATCCCTTAAAGCCTCGAAAAAAATCCTTGACATTCAAGTTACTTATTATACAAAGAATATTATCGCACAAATGATAAGAATGTTTGTTGTTTCTTATACAAGTACAGAAGCTTGTGCGTGTAAAAAGGTATCTCTCTGGCAGGACATATAAAATCAGATTGCGATCGTTACAGTTATCAATGTTATTCTAACGTCGCGTTGTCGAAATATGCGGAATTTCTCAAGAACGTTAAAAACTCGAGAGAGGCAGTCTTTCTAAATAAAATATCTTTTCTAAAATGTATGACTGTTGCATTCCGTGAGGCGTGTCTATTGAAGAGACGTCGCGACGGGCGACCAACGCCCGACGACGTCGCGTCGCGCAATTTCAGTTCGTCGGGAAGCACGGTGGAATCCTCGTGGTATGCTCGTCATACGAGCTAAGAGAGGATGAAGGAGGAAAAAGGGCGAGCCGTGCGTGCGTCCTCTCTCCTCCTTTCTCCCGTATTTTTCTTTTTCATTTTCACAGTGAGTGCCGCGTCTCGTCGCGAGTTGCGAAGAGTAAGAGGGAGAGTTAATTTTAAACCAAAGTCACACACATAGGGGGACCGCAGGGGCGGGCACGTGTATGTATATGTACATATTACACATTTCGTATGTGCGTGAGAAAAGGAGAAACGGAGAGAGTGAGAGAGAGAGCCCAGTTTCCCTCGATTATATTCCGAGACGTAAGAGATTCTGGTGTATTACGGAGCTGGCGGCGTATGTTCCAAAAAGTACGGATATGTTCGAGAATGTAGAACGACAAGATATTTGTAGATTAGATACACTACGAGTCTAGAGGTTTCAGAGGGTGACGATGGAAACGATGAAAATTAAGATTGAAGAGAAAACGAGATTGAAGAAACAGGAAATTTCTGATAAAAACGTATATAAATAGTAAAATGATTATTTGATGACAAGTCAAAGGAAAGAATGATTTTGCTGAAGTATCTAAAATTTTATGTAAATCTGAAAATAATTTTGCTAGAATAATTATTTGGGAAAAAATTTAGACTTTCTTTAATAACAAACTACTACACAATTATTTTGACAGATCTCACAGAGCTACACAAATTTGTCAAATTAGCATGCCATTCTATTAATATAAAAAAAATAATGTGACGGTTCCAGAAGCACTTTTCATAGTTCTATAGTTTCTTATCAAAATAAGAAGAGTCCTCATCTACAAAATCAAAATTGAAAACATGGCATGCAAACTTCGTGAATCTAGCACGACAATAAAGTTACGAATTTGTTTCTCAACGTGCAAATGATACAAGGGGTAAAGTACCAGTAAAAAATTTGTCGCTCGTTTCAAATTTGCTACGGAGACACTGTCTAAAAATTTATTGCTCTCGAGATATATGATACAAGTAACAAATTCGTAACTTGCATATCTTGAGAGCAACAAATTCAGAGAATATTTTCGTACCAAATTTAAGCGAGCAATAAATTTTCCGTTGGTACTTAACCTTTGTATCGCCTACACGCTGAGAAGTTTTTACGATATATTATTTACACTTATTTCGTAAGTGATTGATTCGAAGCTTGAAGATTTCGACAGCAACAAATTAGCAACAAATTTCTACGTTATTTTCAAGTATAATTTCGTTATTATACATATATTATTCTGCTAACTTAATCTTTCTTTAGCGGGACATCATTTTCCAAGAAAATTTCACAGAACAAACGTTGAAAAATGATAGAACTGATACACTCACTTTGTTCCGCTAACTGATAAAACATTATTTTCAGATCTAGCTAAATTTTTATATACTTCGGTAAAACCATATTCTAACTGTGTAAAGTATAAAGAGAAGAAATTATTGTACCCTTGTGTGATGTACATTGTACTTTTGGCATGCTCCTTCGCAAAGATGAAGGCCAGAGAGAATCTTTAATTATCAATGTCTTATTCGTGCAATTATTTGCGAAACGACGACGAAATGATTGCTTGTAATGGCTTGCTAATTTACAT